TAAGATATTTCTTAAACATTATTTTGTAATTAATGATTTCTCAGACATTGTCTTCTTCAAGAAAAGATTCATACCCCACATGGAGGTTTTTTCTCTATTAGAGCTCTCTCTTCCTGATACTTTAATTTGGAATTTCTAAAGACTGGCCATGAATGGGCATTGGATGTGAATATCTTCTGGAACTGCACATTGAGATTTAGTACGCAATAACATCAGTATTTATCCCGACGAACTCTGATTTTCTTTGGGAGCTGAACTCATGCAGTTGTACAGTTATGTACAACCAAACAGCCTGGATGGCCCTTTGATTGGGACTGTGCACAATTTTGTAACTTGCAATGTTCCAGTTTCTTGTTTAAAGCAAATAACATTTGCTCTCAAAAGCAAGTCGGCAAGTTCATAACAGTTATTAAGTTTTCTTTGCATCTCAGGGCAGAGCCTGCCACTGAAAGTTGGTAATGTCGCACACACTTTTAACCCGTTTCGGATCTTCCCCTCACATAGAAATTTATTCCATCCAGTTGTAGATCGAAACACAGTAACTGAAAATAGCAAAATTACAAACACAAGAATGAACATAAAATAACTAACGACCAAACATGAAGAATGCAGAAAAGCGGCAAAGCGAAATAAATGAAGAAACTTACAAGACGAATGTGACCAACTAAAGACAAACTGAAAAGTTGTAACAAATCCAAAGACGTTCACGTAACCCAATGATGCTACTAAAATAAATTACATGCGAACCGAACTTATAGAGTATGCAAATGAACATAACATATACAAAAGGTCACAAAACAAAGGCAACTAATTACGTGAAACTTGGCACCAAACGTGAAGCTAAAAGCACAAACAAATCTCACAAATTCTGGCGCCTATATTCCGGCCCCTTAAATACGAAGGTGTAAACCTTGCATTTACCAACGAAATAAACAGGCCCAGAATTACTTAAGTAATTAAAACGTAAAGCGGTAGTCACTTAAATTCTAGACACCTTAAAATAACAACAAAGAATACTGCTATAAAACGTCTTTTTGAGTGTTTCCCTTGAAGGCAAGTCACATGATCTTTGGCAGTCGTGCAAACAATAACTCAGTCACTCCAAGCTCTTCAATTGACTCTTGTAGGCACGGCTTCCTGATAGGGTGTTTCTAAGACAGATTCTCTAAAGTTGCTCCAATAAACAAAGTTTGCTGATTGGATGTTCCAGCATCGACTTCTTTGTTATGACCTTGACACATCAAACAAAACCGTTGCTATCAGGGTAAACCTCACCGACTCAACCAATCGGCCATAAATTCCTAGGCGACTGCTCATCCACAATAATAACGGTGTCTCCTACTGAGAGATTTCTCCTTAGGCGTAACCACTTTTGGCACTCCTGCAACAATGGAAGGTACTCTCTTTTCCATCTATACCAGAAGATGTTAACCAAATATTGAACTTGCAGCCACCTTCACCTTGAATACAACTGATTTCTTTTGAAAACACCTGGTGGAAGAGAAGCTTCCTGACGTAATAACAATAGATGATTCTGTGTTAAGGGCTCCAAATCTTTCGGGTCATCAGAGATTGCAGTTAAAGGTCTGCCATTGATGATGCTCTCAGCTTCACACATTAGAGTTTGAAGGCTCTCATCGTTGAACGTTTGCTCTTTAACTAGGCTTCCCAGGATCTTTTGAGTGGATCTTATCATTCTTTCCCAAGCGCTGCCATGATGGGAGGCCGCCGGTGGATTGAAATACCATTGGATGCCTTTCTGTAAGAGCTCTTCATGGATCTTGGCTTGGGTTCCAGCCTTCAATGATGACTCGTAGCTCCTTTTCAGCCCCTGTGAAATTTGTTCCATTGTCCGAACCTATCTCTTTCACTTGACCTCTTTGGGCAATGAAGCGTCTAAGTGCCAGGATGAAGGAATCTGTGTCCAGTGTATATGAAATCTCCAGGTGAACAGCTCTGACAGCCAAACAAGTAAAGATAGCTCCATAGCATTTAACCATGCTTCTCTTTTGACAAACAAGAAAGGGACCAAAATAGTCTATTTCCACACAAGTGAAGGGGGTTGATCTGAGGTCACTCGAGGGTGTGGCAAATTGGCCATCTTTTGCTCTCCAAAAGTGCCCTGATGCCGTCTACAACCAAGGCAAGATGCAAGTACACTTCGCATGGTAAGATTGGCACGGATGAGCCAAAAACTTTCTCTCAAGATGGACAGAACATATTCTCTGCTAGAGTGACCACTCTTCTGGTGAAAGTGCTGGATCAGAAGCCGGGCAAGAGGAGAATCTTTGCCAATAATTATCTGGTGCTTTGAGTCATCATGCAGAGGTGCTCTACTTAGATGTCCACCAACATGAAGAAGACCGTTCACCAAGATCAGGTCCAATTTTGCAAGGACGCCTGACTTCTTCACACAATCCCCTTTCTCGATGGCTCTTCTCTCTTCTGCAAAGGCACGACTCTGATCAAACATGATTACTCTCTCTGCATCATTTATCTCTGAACAGGTCAAAGGTTCCAAACTGGCTGTCTGGGAGCTTCTGTCAAAGGTGTCTTGTGTAGACTTACGTTTCCTGGTAATAAATCTCCTTTGGCACTGAAGACAAAGCGCAATGAACTTCAACAACTTGAGCTAGAATGAGAACTGCTGGACCATACAAATGACATTGGACTGAATCTAACTCCGACGTGCGCCGACAACAAAGGATTTTGACTCTCGTTTCACTTCCGGGTCATCACCAGACAGCTCTGTACTGTGTTTTGGTAGGTTAACCCATTTGGAAGGAGGCTTTAAAAGGAAGTCTGGACCCTTTATCCAACGGTCATTTCGAATGAATGCATCTGCAGAAGTTCCTTGTGAGGCATCGTCAGCTGGATTAGACTTG